GCCCTCATGGGCCCCGAACTCTTGAGGGCAAGATCGTGGCTTTTTCAACACGGGTAGTAAAATGTATTTATCTTAAATAGTTTTTTCTTCAATTCATAATTAAAACAAATCAACATTATTATAAAATACAATAACCTTCTAACAATATTCGAAAAAAATAAATTATAAAAAATGAAATTCTGTAATATGATAATTCTTGCTTATAAAGTTTGGGATAGGGGGTGCAAGTCGTATTATGTTAATGCTGAAAACTATAATTCAAAAATTTCGATGAAAAACTTTTTAAATTAATCCGCCATTTGCGTCAGACAATAAGATCGCTTAAACACAAGAAAATTTTGCCTACATCGTATAAGGAAGATATTTTTTTTTCTTTTTACAAATGGTTGTGTATCATAGTGGTTAGGCTCTTGCGCTAGCGTCCGGCAAACCCGGGTTTGATCCCCAGTCTGTACAAATAGCATGGCTTCTTCACTTCAAATACCGTATAGAAAAATGTTCTGAAACGCCTTGAGTCAAGCCTGGCCTAATATAGAAAGCGTCTAGCATCGCTAGTCTGGAAGATCTAGCTTGGCCCACTTCTGGTGCTACTCAGACACTAGTTAGACCCTGAATAGCGTAGCTAGTCTGGAAAGTCTAGACAGACCCATATCTGATGCTAGACAGGAAGTCTAGATAACTAAAAAATTTTATTTTGTAATTTCTAGACTGTGTCTAGCGATGCTGGTATGGAAGGTCTAGCCAGACCCAGGTCTGGTGCTGGGCAGAAGTAATGGGCAGAAGTAATAGATAACAAAAAATTTTTATTTTGTAATTTCTAGACTATGTCTAGCGATGCTGTTCTGGAAGGTCTAGCTAGACCCAGATCTGGTGCTGGACAGAAGGTCTAGATAACTAAAATTTTTATTTTGTAATTTCTAGACAATGTCTAACGATGATGGTTTAAAATTAAAATTTTTTAATTTGGAATTTTATAGACTGTGTCTAGCGATGCTGGTCTGGAAGGTCTAGCCAGACACAGCTCTGGTGCTGGCCAGAAGTAATAGATAACTAAAATTTTTTATTTGTTGATATGACAACATAATTGAGATTAATCGGATTTTTCAAATTTTTTTCGTTTAATTTAAGCTTACATTTTATTTACTTTTTTAAAAATGAAAATTTTATATTAAACAATTCAAATACAATATTATTAAAAATATAATAATAATAATAATAGAATAAACCTTCTAACTTTTTTAATAGTGAAAAGAGTATAACTATTATTAAATAGTTAAATTAAGTAAAATTAATAACATAAATTAAAATTTTTACAATTGCAGTTCATATAGACAATTTGAGAAAAAAAATTCCAGTCGATTTAGCCGCGGTCGTTAAAGCGTTAGTTTAGGTCTTATCGTATACAGATTCATTATTATAACTTTGCGAATATCCTCAAGTCGATGATACACAAAAAGAATAAAAAATGTGAAACTATGGGCGTATGGCACGGATTCTGAGAATCATTACCAAGCCGATAGGTAAATGATTTTTCACTGTCTAGGGCATCGTTTCATGTTTCTCATTTTGATCTGCAGGGTATAAGGATTATTCTATCGATAAGGCATCTTAATTTAAAAAAAAATTTTTAATTAATAATGTCATTAAATTTATCTGCCTCAGTTTGTATTTATAAATAAATTCAATTACGCTTTTTTCACCTTGTGTGCTTTTTGGGAATAAATTGAGAGATGTAATATGTGGAATTTAATTAATATAATTAAATTTTTTTTCATAATTCGCTATTGTACTGTATGTATGTTAAATGTAGAATTCGGCGAGTGGTCATTCTGACCCGTTTCGATAAATTGAAATTATTAATTAATGATTATACAACGTTCTTTATTCAACTTATTACGTTATTTCTTTTATATGTATATTTGCTGTTTATAAAATTAATTAAAAAAAAAAATTAGTTTAGGTCTTAGCTTAGGTATAGGGTTGTGCGTTCGATCCCCGTGGGTGGTAAATTTTAATTTAATTCTTGAAATTTTATGGTAGACGTGCAAGTGTACTGACTTAATAAGAATTGTGGATAATACTAATTTGTATTGTAGGCGCAATTTTTTCAAGTTCAGAAATATAACGAATTGTTCTTATAAGTTAAATCAATTAAATTCAATAGAAAATGCTGGTCATCTGTCCAGCGCTAGGTCAGACCGTCTGAGTAGCCCGTCTGGCCAGCGTCTAATCGCTTATACATTGAGAAAATGTTTTGTATAAAGTTTACTCAAAAAGTTGGGTAAAATGGCTACACATGCGCTTTTGAACAAAGTTTCACCAACTGTAGTTCAAAATAAATTTTCAATAGGTGAAAATAAAATTGATGAATTTTTAAAATAAACTTCATAAAATTTCAGCAACACTTTGAAAAGAATATAAAACTGTGAGTTAATTATCAAACCACATTTGAATAAAATGTAGTCTACAAATGAGGGAGAACGTATTCAACACATTGCAGAGTTTCACCTTTTAAAGCTTAAATTTCAGTCAAGAGTTGGGTAAAATGTGAACTTTAAGGGGTTAAACCACTCTAGAGCGTCAAAAAAAGGCCTAACTTAGGCCTAACTTAGGCGCCTTTTAAAGCAAAAAAAATTTTTTTGATTTTTTGAAAATTCTAGAGTGGTTTAACCCCTTAAATGTGAATGTGTCAGGTAAAATATTATTGGTGGGGGGATACGGACAAAAAATCATTCTTACTTATCGACAGTTGGTTCTAGCATTGATTCCTGTATTATCTACACTATGAAAACTGTCAAAAAATTATTTTTAATTGTCGATGGTTGATTTTCATACTTAGCACGAATTTCTGCAGTACATACACATTACCGCTTTTACACTCACACACCTTATAATACGCACAATACATATAATACGCTTACATATAACCTAACCTAACCTAACACACATACAACGCAATACTAATTTCGCTCGCAGTTACATTGAACGGAATGATTTGAACTGTCCTTATATATCAAGTGGCAGAAAAATTCACAACTTGTGAGAAAGGCTTGTAAAGTGAATAAATGATTTATTTTACTTTTATAATTATATTCTTGACTCGTAATAGAATAATATATATTGCGGTCAATTAATTATGGTTTAGAAATTAAAAATTGCATTCAAGTTTTTAATTTAAAATAAAAAAAAATATGAAAAAATATTAATTTATTTAAAAAAACAGAATAAAAATAAAGTTAAAAATTATTTAGCAGAAGAAATAGTAATTTATTTTATACTGTAATAAATAACTAAATAGAATATAAATTATATTGGAATTTGTAGAATAACAGATTTTTTCATGTGAATAAAACAAACGTAAAAGCAAAGTTTTAAAATAAATTTTTTTCAATTTTCAAATAAACAATAATAAACTAATAATAATAAAATATATCAAATATTTAACATTAAATGAAAAGACTTATTATGAAATCCCATTTTTTAGTGTGATAGGTTCAGGTACGAAATAAAAAAAATTGGCACCCTGTTAAAATATATATGGTTTTATAATCTATAATTGTTGCTAATTATTAACTTTTATCTTTTTGAACTGCTTTATTAAAAGTAAATGCTACTACTCTCTAAATTTGAATCAGCGAAACGTCGCTAATTTACAGCTATAAGTATGCAGCTGATTCAAACAGCGTATTTACACTGATGAAATAGTTTATATGCGCACGGAGAAACTTTGTGTATCACTTCTTCTTAAACTCACTATGTATTTTTAGTAAATTGACTACTAAAGTGGGGAAAAAACGGGAAAAAGACGAAATTTCTTATTTAATAGAAGTCTCTTTAATAATATATGACTTCTTTTTTTGAATATTTAGTAGTCAAGTTAAGAAAAATTCGACGTGGACAGTGTCGTAACTAAAAAGGGTTAGATGAAACCCCGACTTAATCGCAACAATTATAAATTAACTTTTAATTGAATCATAAATAATATTAATGAGGCTTTATTTTAGGTTATTTTTCTTTTTCTGTGTTTAAAATTTCACAATCCGGTTAGATTATACATCGAAAATACTGTTTTTATGAAGTTAGGGGCGCTTAAAACATACAGTACTCTCCTGAGCACATGTGAGCTTGTCTATGAAACCCCCCAAAAAAATATATCATGTCATGTACATCTCTTATCCAAGTTTATAATTCTTTTAATTATTGAGAATCGGTTTCAAATGAACACTATTTTTGTTTTTTCTTTTTTTGTAAAGTTGAAGTGTATTTGTGTTACTTCGTGTCATTAAAAGTGAGGTTAGGTGCGATACAATACTTATACGACAAAGTTATTAATCAAGACAAGACAGCGGAAACACCAAGGCGAAGGAACAAGTTCTCATCAGATCACGGAAGTTAAGCAACGTTGGACGAGGTTAGTACTTGGATGGGTGACTGCTTGAATTGACATTCGACGAAATGTTTATTCGTGAAATTTAATTTTCGATCAAATGCCAAATTTCAGTGGTCAGACTAAGAAAAATTGATATCGTTGCAGTTTTTCCCCACTTTATTAGTCAATTTACTAAAAATACATAGTGAGTTTAAGAAACAGTAATACTCAAAGTTTCTCCGTGCGCTAATTATCAATGTATATACGCTACTGTTTGAACACGCTTTAAGAAATATATTTTAATAAACTAATATTTCATTGATTCAATAGCATATTTTTCTCAGTGAGGGTGGCGTAACCCCTCAATAAAAATAACTACATTTTTAACAAACACAATTATAATCCATGGTTCAATCTCCCTGGCTTTAGAGATTTTTAATTCTTGTTTTATTTACAGTATTTGTCAATAATTTTATATACAATGTAAATTAATAATAAAAAATATGTAAACACTTAATAAATTAATTAAATAAGCAATTTAAAAAGTTCTCTGGACATTAAAAAAATATATTCAGTACATACAACGAATGCGTTTTAAAAATTATTTTATTAAAAATAATACAGGACTCACCAATACATTTCTCACTACTATTGCATCTTGGAGGGTTTAACTGGTTGAGCCAGAATAAAATTTGGACTGGCTGAAGGAATGAAGAATAGCGCCAAAGAACAGAGTGCAGAGTTAGTGTATATCCAGACAATTTACCTAAAATATTAAACAAAACGTTATTTAATGTACCTAAATAAATAATTTAATTTATTACTCGGTTGCCTTAATTAAAATATAAAGGTGAATTGAACGATCAAGTACAGTTTTTAGTACAAGATCTTGTACAAAGATTTTCAATAGAGGTTAGATTTTCACAATTAGCTAAAATTTTTGTTTACAAGGGAAGTAAAATGTAATTACAATCTACTCGTAAACTCGCTTCAAATTTTAATCAAATTTTCAATAAATATTGTTTCAGTGTCGAGATGTTTCATACGGCCCTGAACGTTTTTGGCTTTATTAGCTCCCAAGAAGTATTATCGAATGGGGTTCTAGTATGTATAACGTAATATAAGTTTTTATAGATTTTTATTAATTTTATAACTAGATAAATATTACATACATAATTTATTAAATTACTGTATTTGAATCAATGAAAAAATAAATTATTAAATATTTGTAAACTACTCATTCTCTGCGACTTGCAAACCGGTTTACCTTCATTCCTTCATATCAAAAGAGTAGGGGGATGATGGGGGAAAACATATATATATATATAGTGATGGTGTCCTGGGTTAAGTCGTATATATTCAGAAACTCTATTTTGATGAAAAAATAGATTAATACTAAAGTAAACTTTTATTTAACACTACTTACCCGAGGGTTTTTGGAGATTTTTAATTTTTTCGTCTGCCATATTAGATCCGTCATTTAAAATTTTTAATAACTGATATCATGTTCGTAATTGTCGACCCCAAAAACACTTGAGTAGTGTTAAATAAAAGTTTAGTTATTACTTCTTTTCCTTAGGTTCTTAACTACAATATCCGATAATAATTAACAATGTTTTTAAATATCTTAGTGGGAAATAAACGATTGGTATTTTAATGGGCCAATATTGGGAGTCACTGATTGTGCAATATTGTCAACCACTAATGGCATAAGCTTTCAGAAATGTTGCGATGATCACGACATTACAATAATTGGTTTTTATCATTGGCGCATCAGTGACTGACAATAATAACTCTCTTAATTTGAATCAGTGAAATTTCACTGGTGAAATAGCTAGAAGTCGGTTACTGAATCATTTAGTGAAATTTTCACTTAAAATCAGTCATATATCACTGATTTCCAGTGAAAATTTCACTAAATGAATCAGTCAATCCGTATTATCGGTAATGGGTAAAACAGATTGACTGATTCATTTAGTAAAATTTTCACTGGAAATCAGTGATATATGACTGATATATGATTTTCAGTGAAAATTTCACTAAATGATTCAGTAACCGACTTCTAGATATTTCACCAGTGAATTTTCACTGATTCAAATTAAGAGAGAAACCAACAGTAAAAAAAATTCATTTTTTTTAAGTAACCAACCCAGGCGCAAAGTGACGATGAGTTGAGGCTTTATAAAGATTGGTTGAGCATTGGTCAATATTGACTGAGCCTTCGTGAGACAGCGGAAGTAAGGCTGCTCCAGTCTAGAATGTAACACCGATCTAAACATTGAGTCGGTTGAGCATTGGCGTCCAAGACTGAATCAATCTTGCCGAATTCTGATTCAGGCTCGGTCAAGACTGCTCCCACTGTTACTTACTATTCTCGCGTTCAATAATTCTTAATGATAATAGTAATAATAATAATCCTATTAATATTACGTATTATTATATTTATAGATAAAATTAAAGCAACATTAGTATTCATTAAAAATATGATTTTAATTTATTAATAATAAGGAGATAAGTTCACAGAAAAACGTTGGATTCATATTTGTTGCATCTCAAAATGAGTTCATGTTAAATGACATAGAACGTGGCGCCATCTGCCTGTCTCATTTTTGATGCGTATCAAATTGAGTATAAATTTTGTACTCAATTTGAGATTAAGTTTTTTCTGTGTTGTATTGGAATCTTAAGTCATAATACATACTCTTTTAATACTCCTTTAATTATTATTAGGAATTCAAAAAAAAATTAATATTTTTTAATTAATTTAATCCGAAGTTCTTTTACTATTTTTGTTTCATCACTTAAGATTAATTAACAACACCTGTCGAAATAATACCTAATCTAATTTGAAAAATCTCGCTCGCACTTGACACCGAACCCACGACCTAACGCTAACGCTCGCAAACCTACTACGCTGACCACGGGGCCACGCTGGCCTTTATGCTAAATTTAAAATGTTTTTATCAATAAATAACTTATATATTTTTAATATAATTATAAAATTATTTTAATTTATATATTGCTGTTAATTTAAATAAATGTATTCTTTGCATTATTATAGATGTTTAAATTTTTTTTACTAATGGAACAAAAAAACTTTGTCACGAATTTATAAACTTTTATTTTTATTTAATTAATAACTTATATATATATATATATATATATATATATACAATAAAAATAAATAAACATAATAAGTTGATAAATTCGTGACGAAGTTTTTGCTTCGATTAAAAATAAATTTCAAAAATTTATAAAAAAAATAAAGAATACTTTTATTGAAATTAACAGCAATATATTAATTAATAATTATAAAATATATTAAATTGTAATTAGCAAAAATTGTAAAAAATATATTATTTAAAAATTTGTATTGAAAGTAGGTATATAATTAATAACTCAATATAATTATATTTTTATACAAAATAATAATTAATATTGAATTAAGCTGCGAATATTAAGTCGACAGTTGATTCAAGATTGAATCTAGAATGGATTTCCAGGCTTTGCTCATGAGGATTCAACTAGTCTTGAATCGAGCATGAGATGAGCATTGGTAATCAATCTTGAACCAATTTTGATCGACAGTGGTATACAGGATGCTTCCAGTCTGGGTTATCTACGCTGGGCGTTAAATTTAAAATCAAGCCTCAATCCATCGTCAGCATTGGTTTTTCTCGCCTGGGAAGTTAACTAAAATTTTTAAATTTTTTATTCAAATAAATATAAAATTATTTAATTTATTTAAAGTTATGATAGTAGTTTTTTCTAAAAGAAGAAAAAATATTTAAAAAATTTGGTTTAATATCCATTTTGCAGTGGAGAGCACTAATAAGTGGATGTTTAGGAAATGAATTTTTGAATATTATTCTTGAACCGAAACATTCTACTATAGGTATAGTAAATGTATGTATGTGTGGATCCTTTTTTGTTAACACGATAACTTTAACAGGTTTTAATGGATTTAGGTAAAATTTGGTAAGCTTATTTATCCCATTAATATCTCAAAATGGAGACAAGGATTTTAAAAAATACCCCCCAAAAAAAAAATTTTCCAATGCTAAACGACATAGAACGTGGCGCCACCTACTTGACTCATTTTTGCTACGGATCAAAATGATCCTGCTGGCTGGATCGTTTTGAATCCGGGTTTTTACTGTGTTGATATATTTAGTGGATTTTTTTAATAATTATATAAAAGTCCTTAAAATAGGTACAAACTAATGAAAAACTACCAAAAATAAAGTTTAGAAAAAAAAATTACACAAATTACATCCCAAACATCCCCATAAAATTTAAAAATCGAAAAAAATAGAAAATATTATATTATTTCAAATCTAAATGCGGGACCAAAAATTTTATTGTTGTTTTCACATCTTTATATATCCTTTGGATTGTAAAAAAATTGTGAGCGAATTTGATGATACGCAACCCCGATTTTTTGATCCCTAAAGTTCGAAAAAATCGAAAAAAATACAACATTTCGATTCTAAATGCTGAACCAAAGATTTTATTGTTGTTTTCGCATCTTTATGTGTCCCTTAGAATGCAAAAAAATTTTGGGGAAATGTGTGATTTGACAAATTTAATCATAAACCCAAGAAACACGGTATATTTCCTAAATATCACCGAGGACTATTCCCATGATCTTCTAGAAAAATCAAAATGTCCACCTCATGGAAATATTCTACGATTACATTGAATTTTTTTTTAATTTGTTGAAATCATGGAAATGTGTTCAAATAATAATTTATAACCGAGGGGAATTTACTCAGGTAATCAAGTGTACACTCTTCTTGTAATACTTGTGTAATACCGTGTAATAATGCGTTATTACGGTGCTATAATAACGCAAAAAACTCTGTAATAACGTGTAATATTCTGGAATAACGTGTAATACTTAGTAATAAGAGGTGTAATACCGGTAGTCAAGTGTACACGTTTTTAACGAGTAAATTCCCCCCTTGATAACACATTTTCATGATTAAATCATTTTCATCATTTAAATGATTTTTTCATTAAAAAAAATTGGATATAATCGTAGAATATTCCCATGATGCGGACATTTTGATTTTCCTAGAAGATCATAAAAATATTCCACGGTGATATTCAGGTGATATACCTTGCTGTTTGGGAAATATCATTTACTAGATATTTTGTTTTCGGTAAATATGAGAACAGAAGTTTGATTATAACAAAAGTTGTTTCTGGTTTATTTTTCAGAACAAAATGTTTTTTATTTTTAATATAGAAATTTTGAAACTTTCGTTTAAAGTTCCAAATAAATTTTAATATTTTCGTAATTTCATAATGTAACTTTAGAATTCTATGAAATATTTTAAAAAGCGCCTTAACAATCGAAAAGATACGTGAAATAATGCAGTCTATATACTACGATTTAATTTCTAGTACAAAATAATTAAAATATTTCATAAAATAGAATAAAACTAATGATGTTCAATTGTTAACCGTAGAATTACATTTATCTAATTTTAACCTTTCTATTGTTTCATTTTTTGCCCAATTTTCTACTTCGTTTCGTGTAAGAAAGAACATGTCAAAAAGTTTAATTAATTTTTTTTTCTACATAAAACGAACTTTTTATTCAATAAAAAATATAAATAAAATCAGAGTTAAAAAATATTTATATAGAAAATATGAGTAGCAGTTTTTATTGATTGCTTGAAAATTTCGTATTGGTCGATTCATCAGCAATAATTCTAAATACAAAAATTAATTCTAAGGACAAGGTAAATTTAATATTAAACATTTTTTTGATTCCGGAGAGGGATAAATATAAAATAGAATATATATATATATAAATGTGGAGAGAGAGATGGAGAAAAATAGCGGGTTTGAGGGGAAGAAAAACTGTAAAAAAGGATAGTCTTTCTACAAAACATCCCCTCAGCAGCTTGTTGTCGTCGTGGTAACTATGGTAACGCTGCCCCCTTGACAGTTGGTCATAATCAAAGCCCCACTCCGTTTATGAAAAACCCCTACCCTATTCCCACTACGTCAGACGCTAGGTTTCCTCTCCAACTGGCCAAGTAAAAGAAGAGAGGTTGCCTCTATTCTACTTATTCGTCCGTCGCACCCCTCTGGCCCCTTACCAACATTCTGACACAATCAAGCGACGACTCATTCCCGTTACCCCTCGGTTGCGTTCTTGCCCTCTCACTAACATTACAACGCTCCTCTCTGTACCGCACCTCACTAACCCCTCCAACACCTAACACAGGCCAAGGAAACGCGGGATTGCTTCGAATTCAAACTACCGAACACGAGGTTACCACGCGTCAAATCTGTCATTCCAAACATGCCACCAATTTCACATGAACAACATTTAATGAATGATACAAAAATATCGCTTAAAAAATTAAAATTTCTCTCATTTTCCTTAGGAGGAAACAATATTAGACTTGTAAGTGCGACTTTACCTTAGGAAGTTTTAAGTTGCAATTTTTCTGTTATAATAGTAAAGTTTTAAATACTTCACATCATGAACAAAGCAAAATTGCAAGTAGAGAGGATATATTGAGAATTTTTTAAATTTTCAGGATGGAATTTTTTGTCACGTACCGTCACTGGCTGTTTGATGAAACTGAACAAGACGCGAGAGTCTAACACTTTCACAATTCTGTATAAGAAATTTTTCTTTACTTTACCCTTTTTGGGAAAACACTTTTCTAATCAACTACTTTAGGTCACAAGTGTCAGTACAATTTTTGGGTTTCCAAAATCATGTGTAGTAATCCAAATGTTAAATTCACCTGAGGAATATTCCACTATTATTTCTCCAGTAACAGCATCTTGGATAATCAGATTTCCAGAGCTAAAGATTAGTCGTTACTGATTGTTAGGAAACAAGGTCCTCGAAGTGTAATAGAAATCCGCCTGATTGGTAAACAGGTTCGTGTTGATTTTTGTTGGTGGAGAAAAGAGGAGGAGCGTATTTTTTGCCCTTCTTCTCAATTTATTTCAAACACAATACACTTCATTACACACTCCGCATTACATGAACCAAAGAAAACGATTCGCACTAAAAAAATTTGTCTAAAAATTCCGAGTATATATAAATATATACAGTTGCTACAGACTAGCTCACCATACAGAGCATTACTGAGTATAGTTCGACAACAGTCTTTACGAAGAACCGTCGTGCCGCGACGTTCAGTTCAGTTCGGTTTTCTACTAACCGACGTTCGGATATTTTCGTAACCTCTCGGTCCACCTGCACTCTCTGGCATGATAGTGGAAAGCAGGATGAAAACAGCATACAGGACCGTAATTTGAACAAAATGGTACCCGTACTAGCTGGGGCTTTTGTATTCTAAACATTTCATATGTTATATTCTACTTTTAAACTAAGAGTTATTAATATAACTTTTTAAAAATCTATTTATGCACAACAATATTTGTATAATTTGAAACCTGTAACTCATTTTCCTCAAAAATCGCTTTTTAAGAAGGTAAATTTTCATTGTGTGATATGAAAAAAATAAAAGTATAAAAAATTTAATAAAAAGAAGTAATATAATAAAATTTATATAATAATATAACACAAATTTTTTAAATTTCTTCTCGATTATATCAAATTTTTTTTAAATAATTGAATTATTTGTCCTTTTTTAACTTCTTCAAAAATAAAAAAATATAAGTATGTAGTATAAAATTGTGTAGGAACTTTTGTGTCCTGGATTTTACTTCTGGAAAGTTTTACATTCGATCATCATATTAAAAATATAGTAACTATCATATTGAATATGATTATTATTAAGGATTATTAAGCTAGTTATTAATATTATTTTTATTATTACTGATTTTGAAAAATAAAAAATCGAAATTTAATTTCTTTTCAACAGCAGACTTGATAAATTTCTTTGAATGAACGTAAATTTACGTAATTTTATTACAATGTCAAAAGGTAGATAGCGCTACAATACGTACGCAGGGAAAAATTTTATTTCAAACAAATGCGTATACTTATATTTTTAAAAATTTGCTTCTTTAGTCGATGTAAAGAACATTTATATGATAAAATTAAAAATGTCGTATTATTTTAATCAGTTTTATTTATTTGTGAAATATTTCATTTTTTATTAACATTAATTAATTAATTAATATCTCGAAAATAACAAAAAAGGACACCCCATTTTTTTGTTTGTCATGAAAATACACATTTTTAACTTTTAAAAAATACATAAATAAATAAAAAAAGACCAAACTTATAGAAAAAGTTAAAAAAAAAATTTTTCTTAAAAAAGGGGATTAGTGGATTGTTAATAAACAATTGGCTAACATTGCAATTTTTTATAAAAAATCCCCTAATCCAAAATAGTTTATATAGGGCTCGTTGGATGCGAAATTACGTCAACTTTCAATTATTGGTACCTTCAGGATTGCAATAAGTATTAATTTGTGAAATATTTTACTCAATTTATACATGTTCTTGTGTAAAAAATAAGATTTTTATTAATAAAGCAAAATAATTTTTTTCATATAAATTCAAGTTTAAATCAATTTACATTGTAAAAATGCATATAATTCGACATTTAGAGTAGTTAACCTAAATGTCACATATGAGCATTAAAATTCTGGTATTTAGAATGATTTTTTGAAAAAATTTTCCCTTATGAAACATTATTTGGACACAAACAACATATTAATTAAACAATTACGCAATGCTATTTCAATTTAAAGTAAATTTTCAATATCAAGGAAATAAACACCGTTTGGTAAAATAGGTCTCTGCGACCTACTGCGGCAGTGGTTTGATTTAAGCCCAGGTTCGAGCTTGTGGCTACTTTCTATTTCGAAAGGCAGCTTATTGTTAGCCTCTACAGTAGGCTTAAAGTAAGACTTATTCCATGAGCGAGTTAGAAACTATATCGGTCTAGTTTGTGTCCCATATTGAAACTAGCTTCTTTTCGGGTTTGAAACAATACTTATTTTTCCTGTGTAATCAGTTGTAAAAAGTAATTGCTTGAATTAGTAAACAACAAAACTTATATACTGATACAATCAGAAGAATGCACAATTCCTGTCCGACAAATAAAGATCCCAAAGTCGACCCAACTTCAAATAGGTAGTAACACCAACACTAAAAAAATTAAATATGAAATCAATTATACAATTAACACATTATTTATTATTGGTGTCCTTATATTTTACCCCTACCTATTATTATTTAACGCAATCGCTTACATAAATTTTGAAAAATATTTAACGCTCGCTGGGAAACTCCCAGGTGAAACGATTCTACGGAAATCACTCCACGGAAATTCTATACGGAATTCCGCAAAAATTCTATAGGGAATTCCGCAAAATTTTGAAAGTATTCCTTTCGTAATTTTGCGAATTTTTTTGGAAGAATTCCATACAAATTTGCACAAAATTTTCAATAAAATTCCACAACTTTATTTTTTGCTGATTTTTTTGTGATTTTAAAATAACTGCTGCTACTATAACGAAAACTAGTCGACGATATTGTTCCTGGTGGATATAATATAGAATTTATGATAGATTAATTAATATCTAGTCGAACTTATTTGAGAGGTCAATAAAACGTTTTCCAAAAGAAATTTACTATTTTTCAGTCAACTAACTATAACGGTAGTTGAATTTCTCGACTAATTTTTTTCAGTGTATCTACCAGCAATTATTTTAAAATTACAAAAAAATCAGTAAAAAATACACTCAATAAAAAAACTAATAGATTTGACAACTTTCTAACTACCCTGCATAGTTCAATAGGTCTTTAACTGAATTTAAAAAGTTGTAAGGACTATTAAAAAGTATATAGTTAAAAGAACTAAGAATTTAGTTGGGTCAAGGAGATTTTGTAATTGTTCTAATTTTTGAAGTCGATTTAACTATACTTTTGTTAAGTATAATTAACTACTAATTCTTAACTCCATAAAAAATAGTTAAATTGACTACATGCACATAGTTAAAATAACCAAAAAAGTAGTTTTTTTTACTACTTTCAAGTCAGTTAACTAAAGGTAGTTGAGGATTTCGGTTAAATTTTTTTCAGTGTACAGTTGCGAAATTCTAACAAAAATTTTGTGCAATTCTGTATAGAGATTATGTGTGTAATTCTTATAAAAAATATTGATTTGATAAGTTGCGACTGAGGAAAATGAAGACTTAAGGAGCAGAACAATAAAGAAACAATAATTATATATAAATTATAATTTATTTTTAAAGTTAATTAATTTATTTCACATATAAGTCAATATTTTCATTTTTTTTTATTTTATTAAAACTTAGGAACATAAGTTTTCTTATTATCTAAAATATAGATAATATAGTAAAAAAAGACAAATAAATTTTAGTTTCTGTAAACAAAAAATCACTTACAGCAAAAACCCCGTTTATCCGAGCTCGCTTTATCCGAGGTTGTGTCCCAGTAGGAAATTCTGTATTATCTGAGTCTAGTCTACTTCATCCGAGTTATATTTAATTTTAGTTTTTTATAAATATGAGTTTATTTTTAATAAATTCAAATTGTTTAAATTATTATGAAATATACACAATATTATTTTCCCGTTTGTAATAAATAATAATTGTTTAAACAATAATAATGTTAAATTGTAATAACAATTCGGATTATCCGAGTTTTCGCCTTATCCGAGGTAGGTCCGGTCCACATTAGCTCGGATAATAGGAGTCCTACTGTAGTTTTATTTAGTGTTAAAAATTACTTTTTACTTTGAGGTTATGTCATAAAACCCCCTGGCGGATTCGATTTACGTAATGTCTACTTGACTAAGTGGACTTTAGGTAGACATTAGGTAAACATGTAAAAAAACGTATAGAAAAGCTATTAATCGACTTATTATGATAAAAAAAAGTTGATAAAAGGGTAAATGAATGTTTATAGAGTAAATTCGTACAAAATTTGTAATTAATAAAGCATTAAATAATTAATAATGAATGGAAATGTGCGCGAGGTACCTGATCAGTTCAGCTGTACAATTATTTTCGTGCTATTTTCATAAAAAGAATATAAATTAACGGCAAAAACAATTGATATTTATAAAAAAGTGTAAAATTGATTTAATTTGAGTGTTTGCAATACGAATTATTAAATAATAATTAATTTTTTATCAAATGTGAATAGTGTTGTGAAAACCTGTGAAAACTAATGAGTTACTACATTACCGATCGCATATGATAATAAAAAGTTCTCGATGAGTGTAACAAAAAATCTGCAATCATGTCCGTAATTTTGGACGAGAAACAATTATGAAATCAATAATTATTTGTATAACTTTATTCTGCATTTTAAAATTCACTTTTTATTTTCTTTCAAAGCAAAAGCTTGGAAGAAAACATGCTCGCACTGTATTGTAAAAACTGGTGGCGCCATCTCTGGCAATCTCGGAAATTATGTACTTGGTTAAATTGCAGCTTTTTTGTTACACTCATCGAGAACTTTTTATTATCATATGCGATCGGTAATGTAGTAACTCATTAGTTTTCACAGGTTTTCACAACACTATTCACATTTGATAAAACCTTAATTATTATTTAATAATTCGTATTGCAAACACTCAAATTAAATCAATTTTACACTTTTTTATAAATATCAATTGTTTTTGCCGTTAATTTATATTCTTTTCATGAAAATAGCACGAAAATAATTGTACACACGGAGAGAAAAAACGAGCCTTTACAGCATGGACCTATATATGCTCTCTTCGTACGCGCCTCTACCGTCCATCTTCGGTACGACCTTATACTATATTTTCACTTGCCCGTACTAAAATAGTAAGGAGCCGAGCTACTATAGCAAGAGATGGTACCGAAGATGGACGATAGAGGCGCGTACGAAGAGAGCATACATAGGTCCATGCTGTAAAGGCTCGTTTTTTCTCTCCGTGCAGCTGAACTGATCAGGTACCTCGCGCACCTTTCCATTCATTATTAATTATTTAATGCTTTATTAATTACAAATTTTGTACGAATTTACTCTATAAACATTCATTTACCCTTTTATCAACTTTTTTTTATCATAATAAGTCGATTAATAGCTTTTTTATACGTTTTTTTACATGTTTACCTAATGTCTACCTAAAGTCCACTTAGTTAAGTAGACATTACGCAAATCGAATCCGCCAGGGCCATAGCAAGACCGAGTTACTTTAGGGAATGCCAGACTTGTGGAAAAACTG